ATTTCTTCAAGCAACCAGGGCTTCCGTGTGGGGAAGATTGTTTCCGTCGCAATGATCCGCATGACATGGTACGACTCCGAGTTCTCGCTAGTTCCTGGCTGTAGAAACGGTAGACCTCATTTGTGTTTTGCAGGAGGAGGACCTAGACCTGTCAGATGAAGTTGTTTTCCTCCAGGGTTTTTTTAAATTGGATCCAAATGTACTGCCCTGCCATATAGCTGTATTTTGCAAAATCCCCTGTCGCCAGGTGAGCCTTATCCCCTTACGATGGACAGTGGTTCACCTGATAATAGATTTTTTGGCATCGCCAGCAATTCATCGACGATACTGATGTGATTCGTACAAAAGGCAAGGGGAAGCGCAAAGCAAAGAGGGTGATTTATAAATCGAGCCGGAAATCTGCGCGGAAGCTTGGTGAGAATAACCAAATGGTCGTCCCGAATATATTAATGTTTCCCAGTTCCTCGAGCGTCAGAGTAGGTGCATTGAACTTCAGTATGTGTACGCTCAAAGAGCACACCATAGTATGCCTCCCTGTATGCATCCGGGGGCGTGTGCAGAGATGAAATGTAATTGCTTCAAGAAGAAGATTTATTGTGCACGCAATTGTCGGTGTCCATCAAGCTGTGCGTATCTCGTTAGGTTGAAGACACCAGACTGACAAAGCATTCGAGGTCCCAATCGGTTCAAGGGTTGCAATAAAACTTGCAGTGAAGCCAAAACCTGCAAAAAGGGTGAAAGATGTGCTTGTCGACTCGCTGGTCGTGAATGTGATCCCGAACTCTGCACCTCATGTGATGCTCGGTACGCCGCTTTTGCGTATTCACTGTACTATACGTTCACGGAGAGATTGTAGAGACGCCCACGTACATTATCCTGAGGAGAGCCCGCCCTTTCGAACTCGATGTCACAACATGGAGCTTCAGAGACCTGAATTCAAGGCAAGCTCATCCCTTCTCATATATGATCACGACGACATAATGGATGATAGAATTTCGAGATTAAGGGCTCACAATATGGGCTTGGTGCATTTGCCACAGAGGATATTGATAAAGGAGATGTTATTGGTGGTACGCAAAACATACCCTTTATGGCAGCATTTCTTCAACAATTCTGGATGCAGAGTATATCGGAGAATTCCTGGACGACATGGAGGAAACCTTGAACCACCGGTCCGTAAACAACCTTTGAAGTTGGCTCCTCACACTGGCTGCATTACAGTGGTGTTCTTCATCGCCATAGCGGACTAAACTATACCTTCGAATTGGGCAACACCACTGTTGATGCCCAGTGGCTGGGAAACCCCACTCGCTTCCTTAATGACTCTATGCCCAAGAGGCCCAACTGTGAAGTGGACCGTACACAACTCTCTGTCTTTTCCCGCTCGGCCTCATGTTTCTCTTCCAGCACTGCACATAGTACACGATGAACGGCGATTGATTATGCGCGCTAGTAAGCATCATTTCCTTAACTTGAAAGCGTACCAAATTCTACTTAAGTAACCATTTCCTGTAGCCAAAAAAATCAAACAAGGGCAAGAACTCACACTCTCGTACGGGGATGCGTATTGGGGAAAGGACAAAAATACTCCAAAAGAACAATCCCCTTTGCAGTAATAAAACGAAGGGCGTGTTCAACTTGTTGAACTGGGCACGTGATTTCAAGAAAATTCAACCACGGACAAATAGGGACAAATTGGCCTCTGGACTCTACAACTTATGCATGTACTAGCAGTATCGAAAACCCTGGGAGAGTAATTTATCAATTCCGACCTTCTCCATACGCATCCGCTCAAAGATATCGCTTCCTCCCCGGAGCTCCTGGTAAACATCGTGAGTGTTCTCAGATTTCTCCTCCGCTGCCGGACCGCAATAGAGAGAACGCCCAAAGTCGATCACCCTGAAGCTAATCTCGCCCCCTTCACACGGCAAATAACCGCCCCGCATCCAGCCCTGCGGCACTGTTAGCGGTCCCGCCTGCATCATGATGTTGCGCTCCGCGACGGATTCGTGTACCCAATCCGCGTCGTGCAGCCGGTAGATCAGCGACCAGCACTCTTTTTTCTGGTCGGGACTTAGCATCGTCGCCTCCAACGGTGTCCCGCAATTCTCCAGCAGCATCACAGGACTGAGGTACCGCTTGTTTGCTTCATCGGGAGTCGGCTTTGGGACGTAGAGACCGTAGAACTGCGGCACCACTGCGTTGAGGGGGACGGGGTTGCGTGAGGGTGAGTGACGGCCCACGAGGTTGTAACCGCTCCAATGCTCGGAGAGGTGCGCGGGGAACGCCTGGTACACTTTGGCCTCACGCAGGAGGTGCGTGTCATCTTGGATTGAGAGTTTTGCGCAAACGCGCACGGTCGCTGTTGGAGGCCGAGAATACTCCCGTGCGTTGATGTCGAGCAGGGGCATGTTGCGAATATGGAAGCAATTTTTGCCGCGGCCGGGCGTCTGCCACTGCACTTTCGTGTGAACGTCGACGATGGGACCGTGGTACTTGCGCGTACGTTCGACCATCCGAGGCCGTACGATGCGGATGTCGGGCTTCCGCTCCTCGCCGGGCTTTGAAGGCGGTCCGAGGTCCACCACCGCCTCGGGGGTGATTTCCATCTCTTGGGTGACATAGCAAGACTCTTCAGATCCTGCGAGCGCCTCTTCAGCGAGTTTACGCAGTTCGCCACTCTCGCCCATCTCGGTGAGCTCCGCGAAAACACATTCCCGGCAAAATACGTCTGGCACCAACAACGAACGGGGCAGCTCCCATTCCGCATTGTAAACGGCCGAGTGGTGCCCAACGCCGGCTTTGCTGGCCGGGGAAATATAGAGGTGTGCTGCCGGGGTGCTAGTCTTGTGTGGGTACGGCGGAACTTTGATTCTGAGGTACGGAGAACACGGCCCAGCTGCTTTTCCAGGGTCGGGGTCGGATGTTGGAATAACATAGTCCTCATCGTGAATGCCACTACGAAAGACATCGTGTTGGTGAGCTGATTTAAGCAAACCTGCCTCCGTGGGCGGCGCGAGCTCGTATGTGTGCGTTATATCTGGTATTGCAGTCCAGTCGGTCCTTGTGTCCACCTCGGGTTGTTCGTGCATCGACAGAAGACTCCAAGGGTCATGCACGATCAGTTTTTTCGGGAGTAGTGTATACGGGATCAAGGTTTCGAGCTTGGGCAGGGGCCGGGATGAAGAGAAAGGAACGAATGGCCAGGGCCCAGGATAGTTTTCGGGCGCGATGGAGGAGATGTCGCAGTGCTCGCCGGTGGCAGGCTGTGCCAGGGGCACCTCTAGTACGCGGTCGTTCTCCTTGCCGCGTACCGAGCGAGCGTCAACCCAGTCCTCGCGCGGTTCGATGTCGCGGGCAATTTCTTCAGGTAGCACTAGCGGACGCGGGTCCTCCTCCCTGTCTGCCCACGCGATCTCTGGCGCGGCGGCCTCGAGTTCGCCGAGCTCGCGCATCTTCGCAGCCAGCCGACTCCCCGTGCTCGTCATCATGTAGTTGGGGCAGTCGGGTATGGGTTGAAACATGTAAAAGTCATAGAGAGTTGCACCCCACCACGGGATGCCATTGGGGGCCATTTTGCCGAGGGTCCCGAGATTTGCAGCGGTCTCACCATCCGATGCGCGGGGCCAAGTGCGGAAGATGAAACGCGTCTCTCCCTTGGGGTGCTGCTCGATGAGCCACTCGGGTGGTCGATGCGGATCGAACGGTGGTTCGTTCCCCTGTTCAGGCTCGGATTCTGGACTCTCCTCGCTACAAAAGTTCAGCGCTTGCGGAATCGACGCCGAGAAAACGTACTCTGAGCCACTGGTGGCACTATTGCATTCAACTGGGGAATCTGGCGCAGCGGAAGTGGGAGTTTTAGGCACTGCAGCTGGTTTGGGTTCAGGTGTTTTCTTGGTCCGAGTCGTGGATGAATTCTTCAAAAATCCGCGCCTCATTGTGGTGAGAGTGAAACAAGCAAGCCGCCTCAAGGCAGGTACACACAAAGCAATAAAATGTTCCTGGCACGCGCTTTGATGGCACCAGCACGTGACCGAGAAAGGTGCATGACGTCAGCAACCCACCTTGAATCTCAACGACGATGTCCACATCCCAAGTGCGTCGGCGATTTATTTATTGACGACGCTGACTCCAGCTAACCCCCAGGACAAAAGCTGGAAAGCGAAAGAGCAGGGCGAGGAGGCCGCGTATGTCCACAAGAAGGCAGGTTCTTCAACTTAAGGTTCAACTTGGAACTATCCCAGCTTGCGTCGGGTGGCCAAGTTCTACCTGGACCACCGCCGAATGGTCTCCACCACGAAAGTGAATTGCTCATTTTTTCCAGGAGCAAGAGCAGCTCGCCGCGCTGCGTGCCGAGATGGACGCTGACTCCGCCAAGACTTCGACGGGGACAGGGACGGCTGCGGCCGACGCGCGAGACCGCGACTTTGAGGGTGGCTTCGGTGGCCAGGAGGACCTCGAGGACCGTTACGCTACAACCAGTGGCGAGCACTAGCCTCCCACTCGGAGTCTGACGTCGGAAACAATCGAACCCATATCATATACTTACTATCTCACTGGGACACTTTCAGGCCGATATGAACGTCGTAGTTTTGAACTATCGTTCAGTAACCGTAAAATGGGCTCCCTATTCGCAACCGTTGACCGTCGCTGAACAAACATCGAACAACCGTAGGGATTAACTTCCTTGAGTATACAGCCTGACCTCAAATTTAACAAATACTTTCCACTAGAAATGGTCTACAACAGGAAGCCGAAGCCCCATTGGCTCACCAAGCGGGGGAGTCTTGAGTTGAATCCTAAGCTTGAGGCCACACATCTGCAGAGGAAGACAGGTGGTTTGTCATACCAGACAGTTTGGAAAGTTTAACTACTGATAGGATAAGTTACTTAGGCAATTTCAATCAAGAACCCGCGCATATCCTGTCCCAAATCAGACAACATGGCGGTGAGTAAATTACATTGAAAAAAGAGCGGAAAAAATCATGAAGAAGTGGGTATGGCCCAGCCTTGAATCGAACAAGGACCTTCTGCTGAATACATCATCCCTCCGGGTTTACAAGTAGCAAATGTGATACCATTTCACCACTAGGCCGTTACGAGATAGAGGAAGGAGGAATCAGACAAGAGACAGTTAAAGAGAACATAGCGCGGTTCAACCTGCGGTGCTGATGGAATCGTTACACCACCAGGTCGAGTCAGTGTAGAGTAGTCGTAAACGGTCTATGTTCAAGCAAAGTGCAAAGTCAAAAAAAGTTGAAGATCCAACCAAAACAGCCAGGATATCAAAATCGCACCGACACAAATAGCAACCAGCCAGAGCACGCACGAATTGAAAAGTCACCCATCATCTAATCGTGCGGCCGTCCGTGACACTAGTCTCTCATAGACATAGACAGTGCGACTACAACAACATAAGTCGCTCAGGTGTAGCGATTAAAAAAGGACGTCATGGAGAGCTTGGAAGAAACAGATGGGTCTAATAAGTTTCAAAGCGGGTCCAAGAGAATCCAAAACAATCAGGAGAGTCTAAGGAGATGAACGAAAAAAGAAATCAGAAGAAGAAAAAGACTGGCCTTCATTCGAACAAGGAACTTGTCAAGTCGTCCTGAATATGTGGCTTGCAAAATGCGAATATAGAATAAATGTGATAGCAGGCTATGGAAAGGAGGAGAAAGCGGGGGAAGGGTTAATATTGGAAGAGACGGGCGTTAAACATTAATTAATATGCAGGTAAAACACCTCGACCCAAGAAAGACAGAGCCAGAGGAAGAGGAAGAGAAAGACAGATAAAATGCTTGAACGTAGCCTTGACGTAGCCCCGAGTTACAACATCGCAAGCTTGCGAGCTAGCAGTTGTAGCCTCTGTTTACAAGAGACTGACCAGGGTCCAACAAGGACCTTCTACCTTTCAGATATCTTGTCTTCGATACATGCAGCAGACATGGCACCATTTTCTACCAGGCGGTGCAAGCATAAAGGCGAAGACACAAAGAATTTACGTGGAAGAATGCGGTGGGCAGAAGTTCCGGCGATAACACCCGTGAAACGAGTGTAAGCGCACGCCCAAGGAGCCAGTCCTTGTCCAAGGCGCTCGAGTTGCTCAGCATGCACTTAGCGGCCTGGTTTTTCCGGCGAGAAAGAACCGTGAAACAAAGGCGACGCCGAGCGCTCCGGAGGAGTCCAGCATGGAACAGAAAAGGACGAGAAAATAAGAGACGAAAAGCGTCTGCCTCTCTCGGCAAGTCGGCCCGAAGTCACCTAAGACAACGCGCCGGTCTCCGACCTCCAACCTGATAACCATCTCACCCATCTCACTCACTCTGAATCCACAGCAAAAACCCTCCAAAAATCAAAGCGTATATAACATAAATACCTATCTCTCTGTCTTCAAGCCTGCGTGCGGGGGTGGGTGGGTGGGTAACCAGTAATCGGAACGGGGTACGAGTAATCGAGAAATAAAATAGCTGTAATCTACACTCTGTAACATGTAGCGTGAGGTGAGCGGGAATCCGGAATCGTCAGGGGCGGGATGAGATGAAAGGGAAAGGAAAGGGGGGAGGAGGCGGGAGTGTGGACGTTAAGGGGCGGGAGTACGAGTACGGGTGAGGACCACGGCAATGGCAATGAATACGAACGAGGGGCGGGGCAACGAGGGAGCGGAATAAGGTACTTTCGTTGAAATGCGTGCGTACAATAAATCGATGTGGTGGTGGGATGTATATATGTAGATAAAGATACGTCGGTATGAGCCACAGGGTCAGTGGTGAGTCGATAGTAGGTGAGGTGAGATAAACAATCAGGTCAGCGAGCGGGCGAGTCCATCCAAGGTCCATGCAGATAAACGAGAGTGAAAAAACGAGCGGGAGGCGGAAGGAGCGCGGGGGTGGGAAGGAGGAAAATAATACAGCGGCCGTCAGAACGACGACACGGTGGGGACACCAACTACCGGACCTCGGGCGCCGGCGTAATAACTGGCCCCGCCGCGCTATCCTCCTCCTCCTCGTCAAACGGCATCCTCCTCTTCGCCGCCGCCGTACACAGCGGACTCGGCGGGCTGCTCGTCGACGCAACCCACGGGTCATAATAGTTGCACCCCCCAATCGGGCCCATCATCCCCGCCGTATCCGCAGAGTTCTGCCACCCGCTCCCCGGTGACGCCGTCGCCGTCGCGCTCCCGCTCCCCGTGAACGTCGGGCCGGGCAGCGTGATCGGCGACCCCTGCGGCGTGTACGTCGGCAGCAGCGTCCCGTCGCTCTGCACACTGTTGGGGAACGAGATAACTGGTGGCGGCCACGCGAGCGCCTGCGTGACACTCGCGGGGATAGCTCCCGCGCCCGCGCCGCCCGTCTGCCACGAAGCGAGGGGGCCATTGAAGGGGCTCTTGTTCCCGCACTGGCCCGCCGCTTGCCGGGGGTCAGTCGGCATCCACCCGTTCTCGAGACCTAGCTGGTACGACCAGTGGGGCGACTCGACGCGGCCCGCGGTAGAATTGCCAATCTTCCACGTCCAGAAGAAGAAGTTCTGCGAGGGCGAGGTTAATTTGCGATGAAGAAGAGAAGAGAAGCAAGCGTACCTGGAGCGCATCCATACTCGCCAACGCAAACGTCTTGTACCCCTTCTTCGTATCCGCACTCCACTGCTCCCAATTCGTCCAGTCGTTCTCGCAGCTCCCCAAATTCGGCCAATTTCCGCTAAACGTCCCCTCATACCGGATCCCCTGGCCCACTCCGTTCACATACAGCCCGCAGTCCGTCACGGCGTTACTGAACTCGCCCGCGACGATGAACCCAAACTCGGACATGGACTGGTTGAAGCCAGAACCCCATGCGTCACACGGCGTGTTCGCGTACGAGGAGATGGGGTTGGTGCTCTGGCCCGAGAAGCACAGGTAGGGGTGCGAGTCGAGCGAGGCGCGGTCGGCGTTGGGGAGGAAGCCATCCCACTGGCGCAGGCCGATGAAGCCGTCGTGGAAGGAGACGAGGGGCCCATTGCCTGCTCCAGTGCCGCTCGCGAGACGCACGGCGTTGTACGCCTGGAGGTAGCTGGGGGGCAGTTAGCAGCGAGCAAAAAAAAAGAGGGAAGAGAACGCGCTATCGCTGCAACACATCCAGCCCAATCGAATTGCCCTGCGGCTCATTCGTCACACCAAACATGGTGATCACATCCTTGTACTGCGGCTGGCTGATGAACTCGGCGAGGATGCGGATGTAGTCGAGCGAGCGCTGAATTAGAGATCAAGGGTCAGCGTTGGGAATCCAAAAAAGCGTCGTCGAATATCAAAGAAAGTGTCACGAAGACAGGAAGGGCGGATGTAGCATCGTGCGCAGTGAGTGGAACAAAAAATCTCGCATGCTCAAAAAAATCTCCGCATCGAGAACATCACGATGTGGCAACCGTCAATGGGCTCCACGGCCACCTTGTAACACCAGCATCTTCTCTCTCACGCGCATGAGAAAAGCGGGCGTCCCGCCAAACGTGCGCCCAACGCCAGACGCCCGTGTCCGTGTCAAACACCGACATGTCTGCCAAGCGCCGTATCCACCGTCAAGCGCCGGCTACATGTGGACCGGGCCGGGCAGCCGTTCCACCGCCCGACGGCGTCGCGCCAACGCAAAGAATTCAATCGTGGGTTCGGTGAAGGGGAAAAAACGAGAACGACGGAAAACCACGAGAACCACGGAACGAAAGAACGACGAAAACAACACACACCTGCGCATTCGCGATCCCCATCGGCCCAAACAACACCCCATAGCTGCCCAACCGTCCGGAATGGTTCCACCCGTTCTGACTCCCGGGGAGCGCGTGCAGGTCGAGGTTGATGCGGAGCCTGGGGGTGAGTGTTAGTATTTTATTTTAGCGAGATTTCCCACTCATCCGTCGCATTTCTCCACCCGGATGAGTGCGACTCTCAGCCGCCCAAGCGCGAAGACCACGCCGACTCGTGGGAGGAAAAGCAAAAAAAGAAACCACCACTCACCCATACTTCCTCGCCCACTCCACCGCCTTGAGGAAATACGTCCAGCTAACCTTCGGGAGGAACGACTCGTTCGGGAGCGTCTCGATCGCCCAGTAGCTGCAAAGGCGTGTTAGTATACAGATAGCAGAAAACAGTGTACGCAGAGAGGAATATGGTCCACGCATAGATGAATATGGTCCACGCATATCGGTTGAACGCGCGCGCCTCGCATATCCAAAGAATCAAAAAAAAAAACCACCCACCCGACCGGAATCCGCACATAATTCAGCCCCGCAGCCGCAATCTGCATAAAGTCCTGCTCAGTAATGAACGTCTTGTAGTGGTCCTCGAGCTGGTTCGTGCCCCCGTTCGCAGTGTCGAGCGCCATCGCCTGCACGAGGGTCCATTCGCTGGTGGGGTAGAAAGGAGTGGTTAGCTTTCCTTTCCTTGCTCGTACGCATACACGCAAAAGACAAACACGCACTCAATAATTGTGATCCCCGAGGACGTCGGCCGCGACTGGATCGTCTGGTACAGCCCGGGTACAATGAACTGCCAGCAATATTATATTAGTTGTCGTCGCTCGCCACACAAGGATAGAGAGGACAGAGCACTCACCGGCTCGGTCACCAACCAACCACCGAGATTGACACTGTGCGGGGAAAATAAGGTTATAAGCATAGAGTAATTTTAAAAGCGGGTCATAAGCATAGAGTAAAGGCGGTCATACGCATATAGCGTAACAGGCGTCGCGTCGTCAGGAACGATCGAAGGACGGCGCAATCAGACGTCCTGCACGAAGGAAGAATTGACGCAAGCATCGAAAGTATGAAGATTTGACGCAACGACGATTCGAAAGGACGCAAGAAGTCACACACTCACCCCCTAACTCTATCGACACCATAGTTAAACGACTCGTTGAGGCCGGGCGTCCACTCTTGTGCGCGTGCGCCGTTGTTGAAGGGGTCGGTCGCGTCAAAGTACCACTGGCCGCCATAGGGGTTGGTGTATTTGAATGTGGAGCCGTCGTCTGCGGTGACGACACTGCCGTCTGCGCCACTGACAAGAGCGACCTTGCCCGAGGCACCTGGAGACCCCGAGGCGGACGGGTCGGCGGTGTTGTCGGAACCCTTGCCGTCCTTGTCGTCGCCGTTGCCTTTCGTCTTTGACTTGAAGACGGTCAAAGCGAGGACGACGCCGATTACTGCGAGGAGGAGGACGATGATGCCGACGCCGATGATGATGGGCTTCTTCTTGCGGCTGCGAGGGGAGGCGTATGCGGCGCGCTTCTCGTTCCCGCGGGCGCGCTGACCGGCGACGGGTTGCTCGCCGACGAAGAAGCCGGGATCGTCGCGGTAAACCGAGTCGGAGTACCCGCGACCACCTGCTGGGGGGTGTGCGGGCCCGTCGTTCAAGCCGTAGACACTGTCGGCAGTGTAGGCGGATGCACGGTCGTTTGAGGGGTATGTGTTGTGGGACGAGGCGTACGAGTCGCGCACGCTGGGCCCGCCGTCGTCGTACAATGCGCGACCAATGAACCTGGGCTGGGCTGCACCCATGGGTATGCCCATATCGTCTGTGTATGGGACGCCATCCTGGTCCTGGGTGGGGAGATGGAAGGACGAGTCGTTTGGAGCAGGAGACGGGGGAGTGTTGTAGAGGGCTGTTTGTGTGTGGTCGTCGTGGGTGAGAGGAAGAGGCTCGTAGTCGACGCCTCTGGTCGGCGTGGGCTGGGCCATTCTGGGCTGCGGCGCAGATGGGAGGGAATAAAAGAGAAGGAAAGGCCAAGAATGGAAACACACAAACACAACTCCTGTGCTCCTGCCAAGAACCAGCCGACGTCCATGTCGCTTCAGTCATTCTCCGTCAACAACATCCTGTTGCCATGAGGTGCTTGTGTGCTCTTGTACTCAGAAGTACTCTTGTGGCTCTTAGTATTTTGTATTCAGCTGGCAGCATCCTCGGCTTCGCTGCTTCGATCACCTCTCTTAGCCTTTCCTTTCTCTGAGAGCTCTCCTTTGAATCTAAGCAACCCGCAAAGCCCAGCCTCAGCCAGCGCTCGCCACACCAACTCGTTTCACGGCCATTCCTTCCCGGAACTTCCGTCACCCGGGTCCCACTCCACAGCGTTCCGTTTTCCGTACACGCACATACCACGCATCCTTGCAGTACACGGCTCGCATCTGCACAGGACGGCGTTATCTTCTTGTTCATGTTCGAGGTGACGCCGTCGTACTTCATCTCTATTTCATTTTCCTGTCTCTAAGTATTTTTAATTCATTCTCAATCGGCGTTTTACTCCTTTCGTCGACCTTCATCGACCGCCTTTGTGTCAATCCCCTTTCGTCCAGTGCATATTAATATGCGGGACTGTTCATCATCTTGCTGTCCTGCTGCTCGATTCAGAAATAATCAACGTCCTCTTACCTTCTTACCCACTCCCTCTTCCATGGTTACACGGCCTGGTGGTGTAACGGCTAACACTTCTGCTTCATATATGGATGACACTGCAAAGTTAAGCAGAAGTTCCTTCAATCCTTGTTCGAGTCAAGGCCAGGTCATGTGTGGACATGCAGTTTTCCATTTTGTTTTCTTTTTTCATTGGTCTTTTCTTGCTTGCGATGGCCTCCCTCCCTTTACGTTCTATCCTCCGTCTCACTTGACCTGCACTCCATCAAAGAACATAACCTCACCGCCGCGCACCGGACTCAACATCAGCACTTGGTACTGTTTATTTCATTCGGCGATTTCACCCGACTTCACCCGACACAGTTGAATCACCTCTACGCCCTCTTCCTCACAGGCGTATACGGGGTATTGATATATCAAAGGATGGGCAATCTCCCATGTGCAATGATATATCAGGCTGGGCAGTTGTCGACTCGCCTTAATGCGTTAAACCCAGGATCAGACAAAGATCAGAGGAAATCAGAGCTCGTATCTCCTTTCTGAGAGATCTCCGCGCGTACGTGTGGCGCTTCGTGGCGGCGTTGTGTGCACCGACTGGTCCGTGCGCAAAAGCCGCTTGATGTCGCATCACAATTGACTAATCTGATTGCCCTTGTTAGGATCGCACTGCTTCTGCTTCCCGCCACCACCAGCTGCCACGAATCGCTTTCCTGGCCGCCTTTCGACCGCTACCTCGGCCCATTCTCTGTACCACTTGGCTCAACATGTCTACTGATGCTGTCAACAACCAATCAAGCCCTCAATTGGCCTTCTTTTCGGGCTTTCGATAGAAATTGCACCCGGCCCGTTTATCGTCCCTCGCTCCTTTCTGGCAGCTAGTTGTCTGGTACTTCATGAGAACGTCCCGAATTTACCACGGATATAGCGTGATACAAGGTCCGGCCTCAAATTGGGTCCCCGCGTCCTGAAACTTCAGCAACATTGATTTTTTAAATCACTGGGTTCTGTGCTGCTGCGGGCTTTCAATGTGTCCAGCCTAGTCTCATTCACAAGAGGTACTACATTCTCAAATCGTTCTCCCAAGCTCTGTGCTTCTGATCAACTGCTGGCCCTGACATCGTTGTTTTTCGGTCACGGTCCCCGTACTTGTCCGGCCCCTGACAGCGCCAAGTCTTTTACACGGCTTACAGCTCACCGCAAGCCTCTTACTATCCTATTATCCGCAAACGCCGCAGCTCTATTGATTTTTTGTCCGCCCACCACACTCATAGATGCCCCGATAACCACCCCTGGCGCCCGCCCTCGTTCCGGCCACGATTCTGGCAGGCTATGACAACGCGGAAGTATCATGTGAATTGCTGCTGAGGATTATGTTAGGTCCTGTTGCTGCACGGCTGTCACGCGTTTTGTTCTGTACCGCGCCTCGCTCCTGTACACTGTTTCAATGACCACCGTTCCCAAAAAAACGAGATACCATCGTCAACGTTATACTCTCGACACCATGCACAGCGAATTCGGCGGCCCTGCTTGGACGGACGGGCTTGCTATACTGGTTTCTGCAGATCCACGCTCAGTACTGTACATGCTCTATCTGGCTTCATATACTGCTTCCACCTATGCAGTGTGTATTTACTTTTCCCTTTGGATGGACTACTACCCCTTTACCCGTGGTTTTGTGCTCCTTCACAGTGACACATTTTCCAGCTACGCCTGCATTCCCGCGCCCTCCCGCTGGTTGTAGATCACATGTACAGGTGGACATCATCCAGTATCAACTCTCCATCCGTATCCTGATTCATTTTATCAGTTACAGCAACTACCGACAGGAATTTCGGCTCGTGCATGCCTCAAATAGATCTGTGTTTAATCGTCCCCCTCTGTTGGGGTACTGGATGTTTGCATAGTTTGCATTTTTCCTATGTACTATGGACCTAGTTCAGACTATTAACATATGCTTGACACCACTTTGTCCCGCCGGGCACCCAAATCTCGAGTAAATGCTTCCGCGGCTATTTTGGGCACCCAGACAAAAAAAATCTGGGAGGCTTCTGGCTTACTAGACGGGATGTGAATCAATATGGATCGTATATCTGACCTATTCGAAACGTCTTTTCCCTCTTGAGACGAAAAAAATGATATCAAACATCTCACAGTCCGAACGATGCTCTGTTACCATACTGGGTATCTGCTTCTGATCATACACTGTTCATGCAACTTTTCATTCAAAGGTCTTCAGCCCTCGAACCTATATATTTTCGGAAACGGTTCGATTCCCTGAGGCCTTCTACTATGTTTAAACTCACCTACATAAATTTCATTGACCCGATAGAGCCTGTTCTTCCGGAGGCTGATAATTTTATTTTCAAATTTTAACGTGTTAAACATACGGATGGACTCTTTGTTGAATTATATGAAGTTCTGCAGGCTCAGATCGCGTCTAACGCGTCTCAAGCTGTCGCACACAATCAATTTTGCTGGTAAAACACAATTTTGTCCCAAGCTTTCTACGGCTGCCCGAAAATACACAAAGACGCGTCCGTTCGAGAAGGGTTCGACTTTATGAACCATTTTATGCAGCTAATCCTGACATGCCAAACAGTGATTAGCTCGATCGAGGTGATTCTTTCTGCGGCTGATATTTGAATGACGCAATTGTAACGGTTTTTACATACCAATCGATTTGGTTCGTAGTTCCAAGATGTTTTGCCGACTCAGAATCATCGTAGCATGCCTCAGGTGGTCAAACGAACGCCAACATTCCGAGGCTGATAATGATTTGTGTCTGTTTGTGGCTTATGTCATAGGGAATGACTTCACCTCTTTCTTTCTTCCCACCACACGATTCGAAGGGAACCTTGCGCTCCGAGGCTCTCTTCAGTACAAAAAGACGTCGAACAATCCCAAATGCTTTCATGCGCGTCACTGAGAGCTCCGAGACTCTCTCGGACGGCTTTATCCGGCTGTCGGTGCCTGACTGCGTAGCGCACAGGAGGAAACAGCCAGGGAGTGGGCTACAAGGCAGACGCAAATGCATCTTTTGGATATTCCAGTGCGTGCTATATACTTTTCGCCCCAAAAATGTGCTGATTCCAGCATACATACTTTCCGTGGGCATACCAAACTCCAAGTTGCTTTGACCTAGTGTGCCGTTGGCCTGCCGGTGCGACCTGCGGTCAACTGCGCTCATATGCTGCCCGTTTCTCTGCAGCTCTCAGGTGCGTAAGCCTATAATGGCCCTGGCCCTAGAACCCGGGGCATGCATATACCCTGCATTCACAGGTACATCGGGAATACCAGCATGTGTGGATGCGTCCGTCTCGAACAAGACCTGTGGACAGCGCGCAGATTTTCGGACCCCTCCCGATATGCTGCAAGGAGGGGGCTTGAGCTTGCATGGGGGACGGCCTACAGCGCAAAATTGTACCAGTAAGCATTGACACGCACTAATTTTTGCGTCAAAATTGATCACCGATGAGGTCAACTCGGACGACGCCCTCCCAAACGACGCGCTGCTCCTCGCTACGTCCCTACCATCACGTAACCCGTGCTCTGCGTGTACTACCGCAACAACGCGTCCGTGCCGTACCCGGCGATCGCGTGGCTGATCATTGGGGCGTGCTCAATTAACCCCTTATTGTGCCTGTTTGACCTCTCCGGCTTTTCAACAGTGCATTGTGCGTGCGCCTAAAAGCCGCAACGTTCTTGGTGCGTGCACTAAAGTTTTGATTTCTGACTGGAGATTTTCATCTACGGTATTGAATTCGAGTCGTGTGTATCCTCATAATTGTCCGCCCAATCCATATTTTTTCCTCGATTTTACCTGCACTTTTTATGCTCCCGCCGCCGGCAACGTCGAGAGGTATCTGATCGCTGTTCTCCGAATGCGGATAAACATTCTTATCGCGCCGCACTGTGGCGGCAGCTGCAATCAGCTAGGCAATGATGCAGAACAGTTCAGAACTCCCTTCGGTATGTTCGACAATTGATATATCATTTGCACTTGGGCAACTGCCCACTGTGATATATCATTGCACTTAGGGCGCTGCCCAGGGATGATATCACTGCCCCAGACTGTGGTGTTCCTCATCTACCACCACCTCATACCCCCTCCATCGTCTCCCCTCACCAGGCCTGATGGTGAAATGGTTATCACGTCTGCTTTCTATGCATTTGCCCGCAATTGGTGAGCGGAGGTTTCCTTGTTCGACTCAAGGCCAGGCCGTCCCTTTTGACCGATCTTTTTCTGGTTCGCATTTTTTGATCGACCTCCTCCACTCTTCGTTACTCCTTTCCTCGTATCGTTGCTCCTTCCTAAACGAGCAACGTACTTACCAGCGGATACAAACATAGACGGGAGATGTGTGTGGTTGAATTGAATTTTGATGGGCTGGTTGAATTTTCTTTCTTAAATCACCTCTTACCGCGCCACCTCATAGTGTATTACACGGTCTGGTGGTGAAATGGTATCACATCTGCTGCGTGTCTGTTTGCATTGACGGCCCCTTTTCAGCAAAAGTCCCTTGTTCGACTCAAGGCCAGGCTGTCCAGGACGTCCTTTTGGAACGATCTTTTTCGCTGTCCTTAGACGTGTCTTTACCTCGAGCTCTCTCTTTCTTTAAATTTTATTCGTCCTCCGTCATTCCTTCTCGTAACTTGACTTCCTCCAAGCAGTAACGCCCCACCAGTTGGGATGTAATCAAAGACGGGCCAAGACATACTTTTTCCGTGGTTGAATTAAATTGTGATGGGCTGGTTGAATTTTCTTCACGACCTCTTATGCCACCTCGTCTCCACCTGTACGGCCTGGTGGTGTAGCGATATCACATCCTCGCTCTATATCTACTTTTTTCTGCTTCAAATTGTATTCGTCCTCCGTCATTTTTTTCTGGTTCGCATGTTTCATTGCATTTTTTATCGCCTTCCTCTTCTTCCGCTTCATCCACCCCTTCCTACGAGCACGAGTACAACGACTCAAGTACTCAACTTCCATTGGATACCTGACTTATTACATAATTGCTGGATAAAGTTCTTTGGTTCAACCTTTACTCTCCACCTTCGCAACAAAACAACTCCACATGCTACCGCAGCCAACCACTCTGCAAAGTCCCGGAAAAACAACACAAACACCCCACCCAAAAATCGATACATGTGTAGGTACACCGTATTTGTACAGCTGATAAAGATATTTTGCTAGGCGCACTACCGCGCCAAGCCCCCACCCCCGCCAAACCAAACTCAACATCTCCGCCAAACCCGACTCACCGCGCCCTGAGTCACACACAGAACCACCGCTATGTACTGCGCCGCAAAACCGAGAGACCAAGCCACTGCGCGGACCCCTAGCCATGCTGCTGATTCTGATTCTGCTGCTGCTGATGCGCCTGCTGCTGCTGCTGCTGGTGTACCTGCTGGGCTGTTTGCTGCATGTGCGCAATCTGTGCTTGCTGCAGCTGAACAAAAAATAAACGTGGTCAGCGCCTGCCGACGCAGAAAAATTTACCCAGAAAAACGAATCAAGACAAGAAAACCGAATATACGCAGAAAGATGAGGGATGAACGCACCACGATCTGTAGTTGCTCTGGGGTGTAGCCTTGCAGATTCAACCCTGCCGCAACCATGTTCATGTTCATGTTCGCGTAACCGCGCGGCAGTGCATTCCCCGGCACCACCGCACCGCCGGCTGCCGGTCCCGGTGGCCGGGGCGACGATGTGCCCGGCCGCACTCCACCGTTGCCTCCGCCCGCCGCCTGAGCCTGCTGCTGATGCACGAGTGCCTGCTGGTGGGCAAGTGCCTGCTGGGCCTGCAGCCGCGCCTGCTGCTGGAGGAGCTGGTGCTGTTGTTGCTGCGCCGTCAGCACTCGCGGCCCGCCCGCCATCGGCGATGCGATCCGGGGCTGGCTCTGTTGGCCCTGCTGCTGCTGTTGCTGCGAAATATTGACTCCGGTCCGCCCCCCTTGTTGCGCCATCCGCTGCAGCTGTTGGATTTGCTGCTGTTGCTGTAGTAACTGAGCTGGGGTCTACAGCGCGTTTGCTAGTCAGTTCTCAGTTCAATGCACAGATGATTAAGAAACCCACCGGCGCTTGTGCCTGGGCCTGGGGCTGCTGCGCTGGGGCGGGTACGGGTTGTTGTTGCTGCTGTTGCTGCTGCTGCTGCTGCTGCTGGGCTTGGGCTGCTTGCGCAGCCTGAGCCTGTTGAGCCGCTTGTGCTTGTGCTTGGGCTTGCTGAGCTGCCGCCGCTTGGGCTTGCGTTTGGGCGCCAGGGAGCATGCGCTGTTGTTGAGCCGCCCGCGTCATCTCATCGTGCTTCCGCCGTGCAGCCTGCATGTCTTGCTGGTCCTTCATGTCTTTATCCGCCTTCATCCGACTCAACTCCGCTGGCGAGTATCTCGGCAGTCGGGTGTACTGTGTGTGGGTCTCGTGTACCGCAGAAGGCTTTCGCTGACTCGCTGTAAAACGCAGGGCATTAATAATAATATGTCGGGCAACAAGAGCACCACACACCAAGCATTTTCTGCGTCTGCTCTGCGCGCTTCTTCGCCGCCTTCCGTATCGTCTCTTGCACGTACTGATGCCGCCGCCGCTTCTTCGCATCGCTCCCAGAAGCCGCTGATGACGGCCCTGATACGCTTGCACTTGCTAAACGCTTCACTCCCCGAGTCGTCATGCTAGGTGTCGGGGTCGGTGTCGGTGTTGACGGAGGGGCAGAGGGAGTGGGCGTCGAGGGAGGCAGAGACATTCCATCGTCCGTAGTAGTTGTCTCCTGCGGCTTGGGCCTAATCTCCACTTCCCAGCGCTCTTTCCACCGTTCCTGACAGTCTCGCGGTGACCGCTTGTCAGTTGAGAGCGTCAGCCGCGACGAGTTGTAGCACTCCGAGATGAGCGGCCAGTTGTTCGGATACTTGTCAGACAACGACTTGAGTAAGTTGTCGTCGGCGGAGGTCCACATGTGCACGGCCCGCGGGCGTGGCGGGGTCTCCTTCACCTCCTTTGACTCTTTCCCCTCCTTCCCATCTTTTTCCTTGAACTGCTCTAGTTCTTTTTTGAACGATGGGCTCCAGAACTTGGGATTGAAGAGGTCTGCGCAGGGTTAGATTGAATTAAATGATGTTGACATTCACAACATACCGCTCGCGCTGTCGTCCCGCTTGACAGGTGTTGCGTCTGGGTCCGGCGCAGGACAGTCGTCTGCATTCAACCAGCGCCCATTCCTCCAGCGCTTGGCCGGCTGCAGCGGCCCAATAAGCGTCGGCTTCGTGTACATGAACCTGCCGACCGGGTACAGCTTCGTGTACATCGTGTCCTCCATCCGCTTGTTCGGGTCGTCGCGATCCGTCCGTTTCTCAGACTTCTTGGTCCGCCCTTCCGGCGCATTGCCAGCGGGCGGCGCGACATCCAACAGCCCTAGCGGAGGCAGATCCGGAAATATTTCGGAGAGATCTGAAGGGGGAAACGCGGGGTCAGCACTAAGTTCATCGGCAGATGCGTTCACGACAACACGATCCAAATCGTTCAGATCGAGAAAAAGTTTGTCTGTGCCTGAGTACGCAAGGTGTTCCCGCAGAGGCCCGTAAATATTGGGTTTGACGGGCGGCTTGCAAGGCGTCGCTGAGACAGCAGGTTCGCCGAGCGTGCTAATAGAGTCAAACTGCGAGAGTGGAGGGTCGCTAGACGACTCCTTCAGTGCTAAAAGGGCCTTCTCATGTTCCTGCGCAAGTTTGTCATCGGTTTCCTTTTTCACAGCATCGTCTGCTGGGGGCATTTCAGCACCACCTTCCTCGTCCACATCCATCTTGCTGGAGAGCTCAGATACCGCCGAAGGCGGCTCCTCCGTATCCTCCCCGCGCTTGAATTCAACGTTGTTGAATCCAGAGTCTGTGGGGACAGCCGGACCCTTCTCTGCGGCCTCAAGTGCATCGTCTAATATCGAGGACGGCTCAAGAGCGTCCATGACGCTTTGTTTTTCCTGCTCGTCATCATCGTCATCGTCCGATCCGTAGTCGACTGCTAGTAGGGAGGCAGAAGTAGGAGGTGCGGGAATGGCATCGGGACTGTCTTCCATGGTCAAATCCATAGGTTTCTCGAGAGGTAGAACATCTTCGTCCATCATGAGCTCTTCTTGCATAACATCGCCACGGGGTCGTCTCCAACCAACACATATTCCTTTCGCCACTCGTTCTGCAAGGCTACCGAAGCAGTGCCATTCAAGAACAGCGGTCGAGAGATTGTAGGCGAGCGCCAGTTTCCACCTGCGCTCCTCACGGAAGTCGATTCGCATCCATTTCTGTAAAGAGTATGAGGAACGGACCAATGAAGCATTTAAAGATGCACGTGCCATCTCATCCATTAGATAGTCCCAGTGCGTTTTCGTTAAACCCCCGATCCCCCGTTGTTTCTTTGGCTGCCGAAAGCTCCAGCGACCCGCGTCTTTCAATGACTCGACCTGTTCAAGCGCACGTATGATCCGCACTTCAGCCATTGCAACCTGTGGACTGTATTTGAATAACCGCAAGTGGAGAGAACAGGTGTGCACTAACACCCCAGTCTTTGCTGCTGAGGCACTTTGGCGCACGCGCAACCTTGGGATGAACCGGATTCGCACGCAGAGTGGCTCCCCATCGACTCACACCCAAGGGTGCCCAATCATCCTTGTCCTTGCCTTTATCACCGTTCTTCTCACGCTCCTTGTGCTTGCGCTGCTGCTTCGCCGGTTTGATCTTCCGGCTGAAGTCCGCCGGCAGAGATTTGAGGGGCGGTAAGGTGTATGTTGGGTGATAACCATGTCGCGAATGAGGGGGTGTGGCCGGGGTTTCGGGTAAAGTTGGCACGGGCGACCCCGGCGCAACAGGAACAGAGAAGTCGAAGGAAGGCGGTGGAGAAAGAGCCGAGACCGGTTCACGGATAAAAACCGGTAACGGCGGTGCCTCGACGACGATGGGCTGAGGGGTCGACTCTTTAGCAGAGTATTTAGCGTCGAAGCCGAGCGGTGGAGATTCTATTGGCACCACGATTTGAGGTTCTTTCTGCGATCCGTCGTCATCTTCCTCATCGATTATCATGGATTCAGCGTCCGACAAAGGAGTTTCTGGGCGGGCTAGCTGGACGGGCTGGGCATTGTCTGTCTCTAGCTGATCCTTAGACTCTTCCACCTGGATGGGGACGTCATCACCCATCGGCACATCTTCAGAAGCTCCGGTCTCTACGTGTGATATGCTATCGGCCGGAATGGCAAACGCAAGTTCAGGAGAATCGCGGGTGGGCTCGGGTTGTTCATATGCAGGTTCGGGTTCGGGTTCGTGTTCGGTGACCGGGGGGGGAGTCAATTCGTCATGAGCAGAAAAGAGATCTTCATCATCGACCATGTCGTCAGCGTTTGCAGCAGGCGCTTCATCGACTTGAGACGACGCCACATCAACCTTGGTCGCTTCCTCCGCGGCGACGTCGTGCACGTGAACGGCATCCGCCTCATTCAAACTCGACGGAACCTCGTGCGGTTCCTCCGACACCGGCTCATCCAGCACAATTGGAATTTGGGGTGCTGAGCC